AAGTATTATGAAAGTATTTCCCTATATCATTTTCAGAAAATCAGAATTCAGGACAGAAGCTGCGAATGGGGCCACTCATCAGGACAGAAGCTATTGCTTCAAAACCTTGAGAACCTGTAGCTTAGTGATAAATTTAGGAAAATTCATCCACTCTCCCCAAAACATGCATGATGAAGCCACTGTTTTAACATTATCTGTGATCTAAATCATGTTCACAGGTTTACGTAGATTTTAACAAATTGCTTTTGTGTGTTTCCAGTCTGTCAGATCATATTGTTCCTTTTAGAAAAAAAGAAGAGAAAAGAAGATCATATTATTGGAATTTCAGATTCCTAGCCAGAGCTCTTTTGTGTTCAGTATCAACATACAATGGGAGACAAAATAGACCTCCCAGAAAACATTCTTAGAGATTATATCCCAGATGTTGACAAGGTAAAATGGATACCGGACAACAATCACAACATAACTTACTTCACAGAAGATGATATCAAAAGAATAACAAACAATTACAGCACTAAGCTTGGAAAGGGTGCTTATGGAGAGGTTTATAAAGGGGTTATTGGGGATAACCGTTTCGTAGCTGTGAAGAAATTTATCAGAGTAGATAAACTAGATGAGTTTGCTAAAGAGGTAATTGTTCATACTCAAGTCAACCATAAGAATGTAGTAAGGCTGGTTGGGTGTTGTAAAGACAACAATGCTCCAATGATTGTATTTGAGTATGCTGCTAATGGAAACTTGAGTGATCTTCTTTATTGTGGTGATACTCCAATCTCTTTGGGCACAAGATTGAGCATTGTTATACAATGTGCGGAAGCATTAGGGTGCATGCACTCCATGTACAATCCCATTGTTCATTATGATTTTAAGCTGTCCAATATTCTTGTGGATGAGAACTTTCATGCAAAAATATCTGATTTTGGAATATCAAGGATTCTGTCAACAGATAACACAAATTCTGATTTTGGAATATCAAGGATTCTGTCAACAGATAACACAAATCTAACTGTGAATGTGCGAGGGAGTATCGGCTACATGGATCCAACATTTGCATGGGAGGGGCGCGCCTCACACCAAAAAGTGATGTGTATAGCTTTGGAGTTGTTCTTATTGAACTCATTACAAAAACAAAGCCAACAAACATGGAGAAAAATGTCACTAGAAGATTTATTCAAGCTCCTCAAAAACGGAAGGGTGCAAAGGAGTTGTTTGATGTGGACATTGCAAAGGAGAGCAACATGAAAATTCTTGAGGGTATTTGGAAAATAGCAAAAGATTGCATAAAAGAGGACATTGATAAACGTCCAGAAATGAATGATGTCGCTGCACGTCTCCGAGAGCTCAGGAAAACTCTTGAACTAGGGGGGAAAAGACAGGTTGGCAATTCTTTTCTGGAGGTCAGAATGATTTGAAAAAAGAGAACCAGCATGAAAGAAGCAATTCCAACTCCAACACGGTTCTCTATAGGAGGAAGAGTCTTGGCATTTTCAACTGGATTGGCGCAACCAATAACTTTAAGAAGAATGGTGGACATATACTAAAAGACATCTACAACATAAGGATTTACACAAATGAGGAAATACTTAATATCACACAGAACTTCTCAACTGCTCTGAGTAAAAGCTCTAGCAGCGATGTTTACTTGGGAGACATTGATGACAATACCAGAGTGGCAGTGAAGGTTTTCACTAACGTGAGTGAATCTCGTGAGGAGTTTGTTTTGCAACTGATCATCCAATCTCAAGTGCAACATCAGAACATTGTCAAGCTCTTTGGTTGTTGCCTGGAGATGGATCATCCGATTTCAGTGTGTGAGTATGTGCCCAATGGTGCCCTTTGCAATTACCTAGTTGTGGAGAAGGGTGAAGAAACAGGGGAAAGGTCACTCTTGGATATGAATACACGTCACTTTATTGCGTTGGGGGTGGCGAACGCGATAGCATGCTTGCACGAGAAGTGGCTGGACACACTGAATGGCAGCATCACGCCGTGGGATATTCTCCTGGATGGTAACTTCTGCTCCAAGTTGTCCAAGCCAACACCTATAATTATTAATGAGAGTACCATCATGACTACTGAAGTAGTACCAGGTAACTACATGTATATGGCACCAGAGAGGTTATTTTTCTCTCGGGGATTCATCACGGCAAAGGCTGACGTCTACAGCTTCGGTCAGCTGCTGCTGGATATCGTCTTTGGTATCCGTGACACCATGTTCTGGGAGGAGTTGGTGGGCAGAAAGTCATTTGACTTCGTCAATATAGTCTATCAGGAAGTTTATCTAAAGCAACGAATTGTGGACTGCCTGGATCCATGCATTATCCAGGCAGAGGCCTATGATTCTGCCAGAAGCATGGCCACAGCAGAGCACATGGTGAAAACGGCCTTGTGGTGTATGCAATTCAGTGCAGACCATCGACCCTCCATGCAGAAGGTTGTTGAGATGCTTCAGGGCACCATCGACATCGATGAACCACCCAATCCCAGTTCGTCCAATTTATATGATAGTGCGTCATACTCTAGTTGTGAACCTGTGATGAAGATGAGTTTTAATTATAGGCACAATCTGCCCTATCCTAGTAGTGATGAAGGTGAGTTTAAATTATTGTAAGTCATGTTTCAATAAGGCTGGTTTTCAAGAATCTCTCTATTGTGTAGTTATTGTAGTCTACAGCATCATTCAGAAATGTCTTGCGTGATGTATATAATTGACGACATTTACAGAAGAAGAATGAGTGATGCTAAAGGCCTAGGAGCAGGGGCAAGGTAAAAACTGTTGGAGGAATGCGTGAGGAGCAAAGTAACCTGTCAGAGCAATCTGCTTGATTATTATTTCCATGTTGTGTGTAATCGTTTTCAGAACTGAACTTACTTTTATTTGTATTTAATCTGGAACACCAGTAACCAGGTGTGCTATTATGTATTTTCTGAGAGTTAGTGTGATGTATCTTTTAAACCCTCAGGCTCACTAGCAAAAGCAGTTACTGTAGTCAATAGGCTGCCCCTTTTTACCTCCATCTACATGTAGTGATAGTCATAGTCGTTTTGACCATGACTGTTTGGTTTCTTAAGAAATTTTATTGTTGACAAACAATCTATGTTCGGTACGATGCATACTCAGTTTTAGTTTGATGCAGTCAGTGAGTAAATAGTAATACCCAAAGCCTGAAACAATTGCAGGCTTTCCTCAACATATGACTGTAAATTCGCTTGAATTTTTTTTAAAAATAATCATGAGCTGTAATTAGGAGTACGACTTTCATCTCAAATTAGTATGCGAGCTTTTTTAAATAGATTTCTTATATGACTTCTTTTGTATTTTTAAAAACAAACAAACTTAAAATCTGACTCAAACACGGACTTATATTTCCAAAATAAAACAAATTTTAAAAACCGACTCAAACATAAATGACTTATAATGGTAGAGATGTACACCATGTCCACTTCATTTACCATAACCAATTGCCAATGCCACACGGACCGAGATGATGGCGTCCTACGAGTCCGCTGGCCCCAAGATGACAATATCAGAGTCTACAAGGAAACTAACAATAAGAATTGATGAACAATAAGAACTGATGGTGATAATTATTCCCTCCCATCATAAAATATAGATATTTCTAACTATCTTTACCTATTGTAAAAGTTTAAGATATTTTTGCCACAAGTTTTCGTACGTCGTCCGTTTTCGATTCGTACTGATATCGTCTACAAAGCGTTTCCCGCGTCAAACAACCCCGCCATGTAAATCGAATCCGTTTCCGTCCAGAGCAACTAAACAGCAAGGGTCCGTAAAAAAAAACTAATCAGCGAGGGTGCAAGGCGGATAATTAACCGGAAATATTTTAATGCACAAAATAATGCTTGGCTTTCAAGGAGAACTCATGCTTCTGTGATATCATACTCAATTGTTCGATAGAGAAATTAATAACTAACAGAAGATTGACTCGACTTTCTGTTAACGTTGATATTAATATTTCTAATCCTATATCCCACTAAATAAAATATTTGAGAAAACGTCTTTTTTATTCTTGGACCATGATAACTCTTTGTTTTAATGACTGGTCTCAGGATTGAAGTAACCGTCCCGACTATGCCTGGTTTCGTCTAACAAAGAGCAGTTGGAGATCACACACTACTAAAAACCGAAGTGCTTTCGTTACACGTTATGCACGTTTTTTTTATATCGTCCTCATAATGAAAAATTAAACTAGACTCCAGTTACCCTTAAAACAATAATTCTCCACTCTTATTCATTTTCCGTTATGAGATTGTGCTCAATTCTTGGTTTCATCTTATGATTTTTCTTCCACTTTTTAGGGTGAAGACTTTTTTATATTCTTATTATTATTATGGTAAATTATGAATTGCACATAAGATTACTAGGTCTATTTGAAGAATATATTTTTCTTAAAGAGCTGATATTATAAAAACTATATCTAATCATATAGTAATTATTATAATTTTATTTTTTTCCTGTTGCTATAACAATAATAAAATTAAAATAGACTTCATCCATTGCAACGCACGGGCACCTTTTCTAGTTTAATTTAAAATTTAAATTGATGGTGATAATTTAAATTTAGTCCAAAAATGTAATTATTTTTTCACCTAGCCTCTTATTTCAACCAATCATAAGTATCTCAAATGTAATTTCTATGACTACTCTTATGAACCAATCACAAAATTACCTTGTTTAATTACACCTACTTTTAAAATTTTTAATAATGCATATACTACCTAAATCCTACTTAGTACTGTACTACCTAACTCCAAAAAAAATGCTTACATTTTTGGATAAAAAAGAAGGGGGGGTACTAATTGGTTATAGCTGCCAACTTGCCAATATCACTGTGAATTCTAACAACCGTCAGCGATGAATTAAGAGATTTGTATCGATGTTTCTACGACAGTGCGAGAAGTAAACCATGAGAACAACAGGCGCGTAGGCTGACAAGCTAGTCAATTCCAACTCCACTCTTTCGTCGAGTTCGTTCACCAGCTGCCCGACAGAGACATGTATTGTATACAATGGCAGTGTCGTCGTCGTCGTCTCATCATCCTGGGCTTTGCCTGCATATCATGCATTCATGGGAGAAGCATTAGCTTGAACAAGCTAAGCTAGGATGCAAGCAGCCATGGCAAAATAATAGTAGCTTGAAATCAAATCAGCACCAGCCGAAGCGAAGCTGGATGAATCTCGGCTGACCCTTCAGTTGTTCTGTTCAGGCCTGGTATTATCAACTCATCTCTCTCGATTTCTTTCCTAGTTTCCTACTTCTAGAGTTCCTCTCTAGTATAGTAGTATCTGATAATTTCTCGATTTAGTTGTATTCTCATTTTTTCACAAGAATAAAAGTACTATTACAGATTATAAGTTTTCAACGACCGTTGGAAAGTTTTCACAAAACAGGGTGTCTTACTAAATACTTACACAAATGTCCTGCCAGCATAGATTGGATCTTAACTGTAAATTCAATTACAGGTTACCATCTATAATCTAGCTGCTCCCTTCAGTATTTCAGTAACTAGAAAATTAGGATTTGAATATTTAAAGCCAACAGGATCCCATTTTACTCCTACATATTTGTCATAAGTAGTGGGCCGATGGGTCGAGGCCCTAGGGATAAGGATAGCTAGAGTCGGTTCGATAAGATTAGATTGGGTCCTCCCTCCATCTATATAAGGATAGATTGTACCGTTATTCTAATTAAGCAATGAATCAAGATTAGTCTCTCCCAACCTAAGTCCCCCTCTCATCCCTAGCAGCCGTCGCCGCCCGGCTATCCTCCCGATGGTGTTTACCCCCTATGAATCCTAACCCATAACATCTTATTGTCCATTTTACTTGTACTGTTTTCATAAATCAAAACTGTGCATGCTAGAGGGTACCAGAATGGCCATGCACATCCATTTCGGATGTAGAGGCTGGTTTAATCCATTTTCTGAAAGAAAAAAAAAGGCAACACCAGAAGTCATCAGCTTGTCTATCAACTGCAGGTGGGATCCACTCATTAGAATAAGAAAACATTTCTGGTTCACCTTGAAAATCTGTGGCTTAGTGATAAATTCAAGAAAAAAGCCTCTAGTTTTGTCACACTTTAAACTGTTGTAAGCTAATTTTACCAACATATCTTTAGTTTTGTGAGATTTACTCACACCCCTAACCACAGCTCACTACTAAGATGCATTACAAAAATGATCAAATATACAGGTGAAACAAATCCAATATGGTAATGGGACACAAATTAAGGTATACTACAACAGGAAATAAATGAGTTGCTCTTGTACAAGCTATGTTAACAACTTATTTCTGTGGTGAAAGGTGATCAGCATTTCATTCAAAGAAAGATCTTTAATTATTCACATCACAAAATGGAAGATAAACTAGGTCTTCCAGAAAATAAGCTTAGAGATTTTATCCAAGGAGCTGACAAGGCAAAATGGATAGCTAAGAATAATCATAACATAAAGTATTTTACAGAAGATGAGATCAAAAGAACTACCAGCAACTACAGCACTAGCCTTGGAAATGGTTCATTCGGAAAAGTTTACAACGGAATCATTGATGATAACACTGCAGTTGCGGTGAAAAGATATTCCCGCATAGATTCAGAAGAAGAGTTTGCCAAAGAAGTAATTGTCCACAGCCAAGTCAACCATAAGAATGTAGTTAGGCTAATTGGATGTTGTACAGAGAAAAATGCTCCAATTATGGTCTTTGAGTATGTCTCTAATGGAACCCTTTGCGAGAACCCACATGGCAGTAATGTTCCCGTCTATTTGGACAAAAGGTTGAGTATAGCCATACAATGTGCGGAAGCGCTAGAGATAGTTTTACATATACTTCCAACGTAAACAATGATAACAAATTCGAGAAAATATTAAATGGTAAGGTTACAATGCATCTACCAATCCTACCAAACTTTATAGCAAAATACAACTTATATAAAGTAAAAAAAATAATGCTAATAGCTCAGGTGTAAAATGAGTCGAAAATTTATTTAGGAGACAAAGGCCAAATCTTTTAGGGGAGCAAAATGAACTTTTTTTTCCTTAAATGAATTATAATCCCTCAGTCATTAATAGACAACGTTTTTCGATGCTAAAACTACACTTAAACTAGTGTTAAAACTATCATATATTAATGAATGGAGGAAGTAATTTCACGTTAATTAATAGTGCTAATTAGATCTATGCCATTGCAACTTTGCCAAATTGAAAAAATATCACTACTATTCGATATATATGCTACATGCCACTAAAATTTTCTAAAATTAGAACCATGCCACTCCAGTCATATTTTCCGTCCTTCTCGCTCACGCCGTCTCTATTCCCGTCCTCATCCCCTATCCACGGCTACACGCGGCTCCGCCGCCGCAGCAGTAGCAACAGCGGGTCCAGCCCGCCGCCTATGGATGCCTTCTGTCGTTGATGCGCTTGACATCGGCGAAGTCAGCCTACCGCGCGAGGCCGACGTCATCGCACCAGCCGTAGAAGGCGAGGAGGTCGTCGATTTGCTTGGCGGTGCTCCATGTCGAAGAAGCGGTCAAGGAGGACGGCGAGCACGACGGCGACATCAGAGGAGAGCTGCGTGCTCTCCTTGACCATGGGGTAGAGCGCGGGTCGCCGTTGGCGACGAGGCGGTGGACGAGCGCGAGGCCACGCGCGACTCTGCCGCCTCTGCCGGCCCCACGCGCCTCCACCAGCCCCGCCCGCCCCCGCGTGGCCCCGCCGCCCCCACCGGCCATGCGCGCATCCGCCGCCTCCATGGCTCCACGCGCCTCCGCGCACCTCAGCCACCTCAGCCGGCCCGGCGCGGCTCCGCCGCCTCCGCGGCTCCTATCCCCGACAAGCGCCGCGCGCGCATCCTCAGCCCTGCTCCGCGGGTGCCCTAGCTTCCGCGTGCGTGTGCTAGGACAGGACCTGAAATGGCGTGAGAGAGGAGATGAAAAAGCGACGGGAGTGGCATGGTTCCAATTTTAGAAATTTCCAGTGTCATATAGTTGATATAATGAATAGTGGTGGTATTTTTTTTAATTTAGCAAAGTTGCAATGGCATATATCCAATTAACCCTTTAATATGTATACATTTCCATTTGGTGGCAGCAAAACAAATTATTCTCCCGTATGATTTTCCAATTCCGCACGTTTTCTCCTCCTCCCGTATTATTTGAGAATTATTTGAGACACATAAAAGCACATGAATTTTATGAGAAATTGTTCATTTCTCACGGTGAACATAGAAAATTAGACATCGCCCTGTAAAAGCAGAACAAACAGATTATAAGGAATTCCAATGTATAGGCTATAGCAGATAAAAAAGCTCAAAACCTCAATGTTTCTGGGTACACATGAACGTTTTTCACAACATACCCGCAAGTACTGGACCTCCCTCTACCACGACGTAACAAAACCAGGGAAATCCAAGATCCAACATGTACAGCAATGTACAAAGTATTTTACTACTTCTAACAGGCTCAGCTCTTTCTCTACTTCTTCCTTTGACTACGCAATATGGTGGTTCAATCGATAGTTACAGAGAACCACAATAAGAAGATGGCTATACCAATCGTATATTCCTATGTATGCTATGATCGATTCATCTGACTACAAATCCGGTCCAGAGCTAACAAAGGAGCTCGAAGGAAACAGAACCACCTGACGACATTTACACGTCATCATCTGCCTCGTCTTGCTCGTCTCCCTCCTCTTCCTCCTCTTGCTGAGCAAACAAAGCAACAGCATCACTCCACCAGTATTCAGATGCATGGGCCAATGTGGAAATAAATGAATTTACACAGACAGGTATAGAGAAAATTTAGATGAACCCTTGAAACAAACAGTCAAAGAGAAATATAACATCGTTAATGTGGTTTTGGGAGTGTGTTGAAACAATTAACTGTAAAAGATCAATGCACGGAATTCAGTTGTTTCTTGAATTATATATATAAAAAAAAGGTAAGCTCTTGACTCTTCGCTCCTATCAAGTGCAAAATAGGTGTGCTTCAAAGAGTTCAAACACACTGTTCTCTTGGAGGGGTTGGGAACCCCTCCCCTCCGCACGAAAAACGGAGCAATAGATTAACATGTGATTAATTAAGTATTAGCTATAAAAAACTTGAAGAATGGAATTAATATGACTTTTTAAAACAACTTTCCTATATAAATTTTTCGCAAAACGCATACCATTTAGCAGTTTGAAAAGTGTACACGCGGAAAACGAGGGAGATGAGTTGGGAACACAGCCAAGCTAGCGAAGCAATACTTGATGGGATATTTGAGAGGTGAGAGATGTGTAAGTGGGTCAAAATTGCAGGTCTGCATCATATACCTTTTTAACTTTAAGATGAACATAATAGCAAACCATATGTTAACAAGCAGAAACTGTCATACAAAAAGCATACCTCCTGTATTTGCATTGCTGCCACCCTTGCCAGCATATCTGTACGCAATTTGTTTTTAGAAATAAACGTTCATTAGTAAATCAATATAATTGAGACTGGTGTAAGGATTGTGGAGAGTATGGGACAATCATGGCTGCTGAGAAAACGTCAAGCTTCATGTCTCACCAAATTGATGATATCTTCCACTTCAAACTGAAAGCATATCTCTCCAGTCCTTTGCGGATCTGCACCACATCACAGCACATTTGAGAGACTAATAGATCATACGACGAGAATATCAACAAATATATAGAGCCATCCCAACCAAAAATAGATCTCCTTTCAATTCTTCTGAGAAACAAGTATCAATTCACAAAACATACTAGTGACTCAGTTTGAATGCAGTGCAAGAGCAATGGATGGATATGGGTCTGCACAAACATAGTTTACTCATTGTCGATAATGGAATTCAGCCTTACCTAAGTTGGATAAACAATGCACAAAGATATCATCAGCATATATAGTTTGTAATATGGCATGTTTTTATGATTTTATTTTGGATCCCTCTATCTGCTAATTGTGAAGAACAAGTTTGCTTATGTTTTTCATTCAGATTACTCTAGCTGGTCACAATTTTTGACATCATATAACAGTACCTTACCAGTTGGAACAGGTATTCTTCTGTTGAAAATAAACCTTCTGATGTGGATAGCAAAAAAATATGATCAATTATACAACTAAATAAAATAATCTTAGGTTGTAAAAAGTACACAATTGATGAAACTCACATTGTTTAATGCCAGTATTATTAACAAAGAAATGACTTAAAAAAACCAGAAGCGCAACCTGCCAACCTCCATATGGCAAAAACAATGGACACATGTTAACAATATGTAGTTAATCTTCTCGCTTAACCTAATTCCAACTCCTGCCCAGATGAGGAATTGCCTGATATTTCAGCATGTGCTGCATTTGCAGACCTTGCAAGAGCTTCTCGTATCATACGGAACCCTTCTTCCTGAATGACATAAATAACTAGCTTGTCTGATAACATTGTAATGTTCCATAGAAGATAAAACAAAATTGGAACCCCCCCCCCCCCCCAACAACAACACCCCAATAAAAGTTGCTGCGACGGAAATGGAAAACTTCAAACATCATCAATTGAACATGAATGTAAAACACAAAAGGTCCCAAATAAAACGCAAGGAACCCAGAAAAGTAATCCTGACTTATATTGTAGCTACATTTTGCATATGCTGATAACCATAGGATATATATTTCAAATCTTAAATCATTGATAATAGCATCTATAATTATCTCACCAATTATATTGTTAATGTTATCCTGCCAGTAAAATAGCACCAAAGAAATCAAATGATGATGATTAATAATCATGACCATTTCAATCTTTTTTCAGGGCAATTTGCATCTTTAGAAGGTAAGCACAACAAATGAGGAAGTGGCTCAAGATTCTAGCAACACATTCAAGGCGCTTCAAAAGAAAATAAGGTTCCCAAATAAGAAAAAGGGAATATTTAAAATTCTAAACAGATCCAAGATTAGAAGTCTAAATGTAGTTCCTGTTTATTCATATTCATATAATCAGATTACTGTTTACTAAAAACTGATTTGGAAACAGATTGTTGCTAGAGTTATGTTTTTTTTTTCTGGAGAATACTACACGGGACAGAACAAGCACTTCCCAAGGGCAGTTAAGTTCATAGGGTGTTGCTATACGCACTAGCACACATGGGTGCACAGTGATTTTTGATGTTTTGAGGGATGAGTGCTCCGAGGCAATAAACTGATAGACATCACCGCAAATACAAATATATGCTTGATGGAATTCTGCAGCCATAGAGTTCATGGTTTGATAGTAGTTGGACTTGTGCACAAAGAAAGCCAGTGATCTCAATAAGGATAGTAACACTGTAACATAGACACGTAGTAGCATACCGTTGCCCTCTCATCGTCAGCAGGTCTATCTGAGGCAGATTCCGCTCCAGTCACAAAAGGATTATTTTGTATGAACTCATGAAAAGGAACATAAGTGTCTGAGTCAGATTCCAAGAGAACAGTATCAGTGTTTGAGGTTGAAGGTTCCCCTGCAGCCAAACGAAATGTTTCTGCTAACTCTGGATCCGCATTTGGGTCAACACTGTATTCATATCTAGATGCTCCATCGGCTGCAGCTTCTTGCCTTGCTATCTCTGATAAACGAAGTGCTTCTGCAAACTCTGGATCCACATTTGGGTCAACATTGTATTCATATCTAGATGCTCCACCGGCTGCAGCACCCCCTCCTTCATCTCCAGTAATTATCGGTGTACTGTGAAAGGAATAGGATTATTACTTATTAGTGATAGCATACTCTAGCACTAGGTATTTGGGTAAGATCCTGCAGATAACATAATAGATGTTCACTTGGCAAGGACGGCACGAAGATCTTCCCCAGGTGGGATGTGAACTATGTGGCTGCTGCCACCAACTGCAGCAACAAGAGCTTCTAGTTTCTCAGGCTTTTCATCGTCAGATTCGCCAAATTCAACAACATCAAGAGAAACATTATACTTCTTCAGCTTTTTTCCAATTGTCTCTAACTTTTCATCTTTTACAGGGCTGCAAGGGACAATGTAGCATAATTTCAGCTCAAATAAAAATTTCAGATTGTTATTGCTCCCTCCAGTCACAAATACACGGCATCCAATTCACATCAACATAGACTTGTGATAGGAGAAGTTTGGAACAGAATCTATCATGCAACTTTTTTGCGGTACCTGCCAACAAAAACAACTATCCTCTGACTCAGTCTTTTGTCGGGACGATTTTTAAGTACCAGTTCAGCAATATTTAGAGTAGCAGTCAAATTTGCTTCACCACTAGCTTCCAGCCCTGCCATAAAAAGTGTTTCAGTTATAGGAATATGTGACACATGATTTCTTTAAAGCAGCAGTGTTAACAACTATCAAGTATTTGATCGATCACAACAAGATTTAACATTTTGTGGTTCTCATTACATCCATATCATCTCTTCCTTGTAATATAGATAATACTTTTAGAATGGCATATCAAAATGAAAGCAAATATAGGTGATGAGTTTATGACAGTACAAATGCACAATTATTACCACAATTCCTTTACAAACAAGTGGACCATACAGGGGAGACACCAGATATGTCTAAGCATTGTTTCTTTGCATGAATTTAGCCAAATCGTACAACAAAATGCGATTAACATATTCCATAAGCAACACAGAAACGACAACTCGTCGTGGTTCTTCTTACCTATTCGTTGAACACTGAACACATTAGACTCAGTGATCCTGACAACATATGTTCAGAGTTGCATTCCATGAGGATAAGCTAATTTAATGCTTCCTTAGAGTGTTCTTAGCACTACCTTAGAAAATAAAGAGATCAGTGTGCTTGTCACATTTTGGCAAATAACATGATGGATTGATCAGTAAACTACGACTGCGCGCTAACCAACATCATTTCTATCTAAACTGATCATCCTGGAGAAGACTCGCCGATCAGAAGGTGTGTATATTTCTTAAGACAGGACTATATATTCATAATTGAATTCCAGGAGGATAAGCTAAGTTAATGGTTCCTTCGTGCTACTCTACTAACAAAAAATGTGATCAGTGTCCTTAATTCCTTATTACATTTTTGGCAAACAAGTAACAACATCATGGATTGATCAATAAACTATCTGCACTCTAACCAACCAACCATCATTCTATCTGAACTGATAATCCTGATGGAGCACAACAAACCAAACAAAAGAGGATTGATCAATGCCCACATTCTGGAATCGTTATTACATTTTCGGCAAACAACATCATGGATTGATCAATATATCATCTCAACCATTAACCAACAATCATTTTATCTGAACTGATAATCCTGAAACACAACAAACCAAACCAAAGTGATCATGGATTGACCAATGAACTACCCCACATTCTGGATCGTTGGAGAAACAGGCAAAATCACAGAATTAGATGGCAATTAGGGGGCAAGTCACGCACCGTGCATGCAGGCGAGGAACTTGACGGGGTCGCTGGTGGGCGCGAGGAGCACGCGCACTCTGTCCCCAGCCATGGCCAGCACCCCGACCGTGTTCTCCGGGTTCGACTGCAATGCACACGACGCCCCCAAAATCCCGGAATCAAAACCCCACCCAAAAAGAAAAAAGATCCAATCCAATCCAATCCAACGCCGCGTAAGCGGAGGCAGCGAAGCAAGCAAACGAACCGTCATTTTAGTGCCGACGACGAGGTTGGCGGCGTCCTCCTGCGCCTGGAGCCGCGTCGGCGGGTAGTCGCCGTTCCGCATCCACTCGGAGTCGTCCACGCATATCACCGTCGCCTGCACCGCGCGCGATTCCAAAACCCGTCAGAAATTCAATCGCCGTAGCGGCCGGGCTCGCCGCGGCTAGAGCTCGCCTCGCGGAATGGGGGGAAGCGAGAGGAGGGACGAAATGGGGAGGGGAGGGGAGGGGAGGGGTGGAGGGCATACGGACCTCGAGCTCGAGCACCATGGCCGCGGCGGCGGAGGAGAGAGGAGGAGTGGAGGAGGGGGCGCGGCGTGTGGTGTTCGACCGGGTTGCTTTGCTTGCAGAGGAAGAAGGAAAAGGAGGTGTGGGTTTTTGGTGCGGACGATTTGAACGACGAGACGTTCTAGAAGGGTTTTGGAGCGGTTATAAATCGGATGAAATTCGCATCCCGTTCGAGATTGATGAGGATTTAGATTTCTTTTTTTCAGTGTGTGTAGTTCACGATAAAATTAAAAGTTTGGTTGAAATTGAAACAATATGACAGAAAAGTTGTAAGTTTGTGTGTGTAGGAAATTTTTTATGCGATGAAAAAGTTAAAAGTTTGAAAAAAAGTTTAGAACTAAACTCGGCCTTTAATGGAAAGATCAGCACTAAAATTAACTAAGGGCACCTAAAACAAAAATATCATTTTAATTGAGTATTAGTTATTATAAACTAAAAAAATAGATTTATTTGATATTTTAGTGCAATCTATATATATATAAAGTTTTTCAACGGGCACCGGTTATTGGTGTCAAAAGCGTTCTAATGGAAACCCTTAATCAGGAAAGAATAGAGAGAGTGAGGTGGTGTTTGGATTAGGGACTTAACTTTAGTTTTTATATTTAGACACTAATTTAAAGTATTAAATATAGACTACTTATAAAACTAATTACATAAATGAAAACTAATTCACGAGATAAATTTTTAAGCCTAACTAATCCATAATTAGAGAATGTTTACTGTAGCATCACATAGGCTAATCATGTATTAATTAGGCTCAATAGATTCATCTCGTGAATTAGTGCAAGATTATGGATGGGTTTTATTAATAGTCTACGTTTAGTATTTATAATTAGTGTCCAAACATCCGATGTGACTGAGACTTAGAAGTTTTAGTCCCATCTAAATAGGGTCTGAATACATACACTGGTGGAGAAACCATCTTTCGTCGGTCGGCCGATTTCCACAATAGTCCCGGATGCAATAAAAACCGGGGCTAAAGATGATCTTTAGTCCCGGTTCAAAAGGGTAACGGGCATATTTGATCTTTAGTCCCGGTTTGTGTTACCAACCGGGACTAAAGATCATCTTTAGTCCCGATTCGAATGCTGTCAGGGCCTGTCAGGCCCCCCCCGGATCTTTAGTCCCGGTTGGTAACACCAACCGGGACTAAAGATCTTAACTTTAGTCCCGGTTGGTAATACCAACCGGGACTAAAGATCCCGGTGATCTTTAGCCCCGGTTAGTGCTACCAACCGGGACTAAAGTCACACCCCTATACATATGTCTTCTTCCTCCTCCAGCTGCCCGAGCAAGCTTCAAAATTTCTTCAAAAAAGAGGGGAGGTCATGCCAAAATTTCTATTGAATTTATTTTGGTGATTACATACAAATCAGAGGTGCCTAAAAGGTTTGCAACTTCATCCTCCAATGTTTTTTTTTGTCATACTACATTTGCACCTATGTTTTGCACACTTTTTTTTCTCCAAAATTTAGTTGTAAGTTGATGAGAGAGAAAATGTGTGTGGGGAAGAAAGAATATATAGAAATTTAGTTCATTTGCTAAACAAGGTTTTATAAAATAGTTGAGAAGGAAAACTCTAGTGAAAGTTAATCTTAAATAATAGAAAACAAACTAAAATGAAAATTAAAAGAAGTAAAACACATTAAAATTAGTTTAAAACTTTACAAATAGTTTTTAAGAATTATTTGGTGTAATATTTTATGATTTTTGTATGAATAAAGATATCTTATAATTATTGTATGACTGTCATTATTGTAAGAATAATTATTTGTGTACGGTTTTTTTTAACTCATGTAGATGGATCGGCAATGGATGTACGCTGACCGGCGGTCCAAAGAGTTTATTGACGGCGTGCACTATTTTTTGAAAGTGGCCGAAGCTAGTAGGCAAAGGGGTTTTATTTGTTGTCCATGCAATAAGTGTAAGAATCAGAAGGAGTATTCTGCATCCAGGACTATTCATTTCCACTTGTTTGAGTCGGGGTTCATTCCAAGCTATAATTATTGGACATCCCACGGAGAGCAAGGTGTTGAAATGGAAGAAGAAGAAGTGGAAGACGACAATATTCCGGACTTTGCTCAGTATGTTGGATTTGAAGGAAATCAAACGGGCGAGGAGGAAATAGCTGCTGATGGTAACGACGTTGCGGATGATCTTGGTCAGATGTTGCAGGACGCCAGGGAAGACTGCGAAAGTGAAAAGGAGGCCCATAAATTGGACAAGATGTTGGAGGACCACAGAACTTCGTTGTACCCAGGTTGCGAGCAGGGGCACAAAAAGTTGGATACCACTCTGGAGTTGTTGCAATGGAAGGCAAAAAATGGGGTTAGTGACAAGGCATTTGGCGATTTATTGAAACTCGTCAAGAACATTCTTCCGGGGGGAAACAAATTGCCCGAGACAACGTACGAGGCTAAGAAGATAGTCTGCCCGTTAGGACTGGAAGTTCATAAGATTCACGCATGTCCGAACGATTGTATCCTATATCGCGGTGAGGAGTATGAGAACCTAGAAGCATGCCCTGTTTGCAAAGCACTACGATACAAGATTAGACGGGACGATCCAGGAGAAGTTGACGGGCAGCTAACAAAGAAGAGAATTCCTGCTAAGGTGATGTGGTATTTCCCTATAATACCACGGCTAAGGCGTTTGTTCAGGAACAAGGGGAATGCTAGAATGTTGCGATGGCACGCTGAAGAGCGTCAACAGGACGGGATGCTGAGACACCCCGCCGATGGTTCGCAGTGGCGAAACATTGACAGAAAATTTAAAGAATTTGGAAAGGACGCACGAAACATACGGTTTGGTTTGAGTACGGATGGCATGAATCCTTTTGGAGAGATGAGCAGCGGCCATAGCACTTGGCCCGTTACGATGTGTATCTACAACCTCCCCCCCTGGCTATGCATGAAGAGGAAGTACATAATGATGCCGATTATTATTCAAGGCCCCAAGCAACCTGGTAACGACATCGACGTGTACCTAAGACCACTGGTCGAAGATCTTAAACAGTTGTGGAAGAAGGAAGGTGTCCCCGTGTGGGACGAGGACAAACAGGAGGAGTTTAACCTACGAGCGCTGCTGTTCGTAACCATCAACGATTGGCCTGCACTTAGCAACCTATCCGGACAGTCCAACAAGGGGTACAAGGCTTGCACTCACTGTATGGATGAAACAGAAAGTACGTATCTTAAGCACTGTAGGAAGGTTGTATACATGGGTCATCGTCGATTCCTTGCAGCAAACCACCCGGTACGGAAGAAAGGCAAGCACTTCGAACATAAGGCCGACCACCGTACGAAGCCTAAACATCGCAGCGGGAAAACAGTGTTTGCTATGGTTAAAGATCTTAATGTAGTGTTCGGAAAGGGGCCTGGAAGCCAGCATATAGAGAGCGAAGATGGTCACGCGGCGATGTGGAAAAAGAACTCTATATTTTGGGAGTTACCATATTGGGAATTCTTGGACGTATGCTACGCAATCGACGTGATGCACCTCACTAAGAACCTTTGCGTAAACCTTCTTGGCTTCCTAGGTGTATACGGAAAGTCGAAAGATACACTGGAAGCACGTAATGATCTGAAGCATATGGAACAACGTGACGACCTTCACCCGGAACCAAAGGAGAAAGGAAGCCATTACTTGAGTCCAGCCAGCTACACTCTTAGCAAGGCAAAGAAGGAAAGTATGTTTGAATGCTTGGAGAGCATAAAGGTACCGTCTGGATACTCCACGAATATCAAGCGAATAATAAGCACGAAGGAGAAGAAGTTCACAAACCTAAAGTCTCATGACTGTCACGTGTTGATGACACAACTGCTACCAGTTGTAATAAGGGGTATCCTTCCAGACAATGTCCAGGCAACAATAACAAAGCTATGTGCATTCATGAACGCAATTTCGCAGAAGGTCATCGATCTGGATAGATTAGAAGCCCTTCAGAATGAAGTGGTGCAATGTCTCGTCAGTTTTGAGTTGATATTTCCACCTTCATTTTTCAATATAATGACGCATCTGCTTTGTCACCTTGTGAAAGAGATCCGTATTCTCGGGCCTATGTACCTACACAACATGTTTCCTTTCGAGAGGTACATGGGCGTTCTGAAGAAGTATGTTCGTAACCGTGCTCGTCCAGAGGCAAGCATCGCCAAGGGTTATGGAACAGAGGAGGTCATCGAATTTTGCGTAGAATTTATCGAAGACCTTCGCCCAATCGGGGTACCTGAATCACGCCATGAAGGGAGACTACGGGGAAAGGGAACTCTCGGAAGGAAAGCAATAACGACGGTAGACAACAATTTATTCCGTAAAGCCCATTTCACTGTTCTGCAACACTCTTCATTGGTAGCTCCTTACATCGAGGAGCACTTGGCTCTAGTTCGCGCCAGGAACATCGGTAAGTCCGATGCATGGATTACACGGCATCACATTGATACTTTCCCCGCGTGGCTACGACAACATCTCATGGGTAACGAGTCGATCAACCAACAACTTGCCTTCCTGGCGAGGGGACCGTCTGGGTCGATCGCGACATTCCAGGGATATGAGATCAATGGGTACACATTCTACACGAGAGCCCAAGACATGAAGAGCACGAACCAAAACAGCGATGTTCGTGTCGATGCCATGGGACACGATGGAACAACTGTCACGTATTACGGTGCCATCGAGGACATATGGGAACTTGACTATGGTCCTCTCAAGGTTCCTCTGTTCCGGTGCCAATGGGTTAGGTTGACTGGTGGAGGCGTAATGATTGATGACAGTGGGATGACAACTGTTGACCTTAACAAGGTTGGATACTCGGACGAACCTTTTGTCCTTGCCAATGATGTAACGCAAGTCTTTTTCGTGAAGGACATGTCTAGCAAAGGAAAGAAGGGCAGAGGGCCTGATGAGCCTAAGCGTCAAGTGGTTCTCCCAGTGCGCCCTCGTCTTCTTCACCAACACTTAGACGTTTTCGGCCGATCGATCTCTCTCGGCCTCTCTCCTTCGCCGCCACTGCCTAGGGCAAATCCCCGCGCCGACGCCGCCGTATCTCGCCGTCGTCTCGAGCTCGTCATCCTCGCCGCCGCCTCCGCCTCCTCCGCTGCCG